TGCCCAGGTATTTATTTATAGGGGGGAAATGTCCAGACCAAACGTAATTTCTAATCCCCCTTACCAGAGGGAGCCCCCTTGTGAAGTACTGTGAAGTACGTTACCATGGCAACTCCACTGCTCTGCACAGTAGAAGCCATTTTACGGCAGTATAGTATAAGCCATTTTAAGGCACAACAGGCTGCATCTTAACAGAACACACACCCCAAGGCGTGCTAGGGGTATCTTACCCCCACAATATTTTTCTCCAGAGTGTAAGCCAAATTTACTTAACAACCATGTTATTAACTAAACTGCTCTGATCCAGGCTTCCCGAGAGCATGAAGCAAACTTCTAGTCCCGACAAAAACCCCTTTTATTAATTGACTGTGAATTCCTTTCATTCACATCCAGCAAAGTCTTTCAAGGGAGGATTTACAGTCACAGACCTTCTCTGGCTTGGAGAGCTGACAGGCAGAACTTGGCAAGGAGTCTCGGAGACTCACGAACCAATTAAGTGAACTACTGGTCTCCTGCAAACTCCACTCCCCTTTCGCTCCTCTTTTATTTCCTCTGGGAGGGGCCATTCATCGTCCACCTGTGGCCTTACTCCCAAGTCAATCCCTGTTCTTTAGCCATTCCCTAACTCTGGCAACTCTGTGCATGTGTACACTGGGAACAGGGACCACAACATAACTCACCTACAGCTCGGAGAAGACCCCTTTCTTGATCCTTTCGGGCCAAACTTTCCATCTGGTTGACCTTCCATTGCCGAAGCGCAGCTAGAGAGCTGTCCCTCATTCTGACCAAAGCCTTCTTCACCGTGGATTGAAGGAGTTGCCGAAACGAAGAGGAATCGCAACTCAAATTCAGGGGCAGGAATTCTTTCAAGAGTTGGATCTCCCTCTCCGATAAGACTTGACTGGTCTTGGGAGCTGAGCAGAGGAAGCCTAAGGCTGCCAGGCGGACAGTTTCTTCTTTGGAGAAGAGGCAGAAGGTGAGTCTCTTCAGCGTCTTCTCATCGGTGAGCAAGTCTCCCGCAAGGGTCTTCTGAACGTTCAACAAGGAGACCCACGCTCGGAGCTGAGAGGCGTCCCTGCCCCCAAATCTCATGGCCAACAGCGCATAAGAAGCAGGAAAGACTCTCAAAGTCCGTCCGAGAAGGTGGCTGGAAGTGTTGCTCTGGAGAAACGGGTCAGAAGAGGTCAAGGCACTGGAGAAGGTTGGTAACCAACAACTGGACCACTTGTGAGCCAGATGTTCTTCTGAGACCTCATCCTCCACCTCCGTCCAGGCTTTGCGCTGCAGTCCTAGGAGAGTTTTGTACAAATCCGAAGCGACGGGACACAGACGGTTCGTGGACAAGCAGTTGAAGAGATGTTGAGGGAGATCTGGGTAGATCTCCAGGACCTTGGCAGAAAGACCCACAAAGCAATAGGATCAGAATCCATAACACCATGATTCTTTTACCTGACATATTTGATATCTGGACAGGTTGGGGAGGAACTTCGGGAAGGCTAAGGTCAAAATGTACTGATAACATATACAGGTGGTCCTTGACTTATGACTGTAGTCGAGCCTACAGTGATAGTGTACTAGTCCTACAACTGAGCCCAAAATTTCTGTTGCTAAGTGAGATGGTTGTTAAGTGAGTTTTGCCCCATTTCATAACTTCCCTTCCTTTCTTTTCCTTCCCTTTCCCTTCCTTTCTTTTCCCTTTTTTCCTTTCCTTTCCTTTCCTTTCCTTTCCTTTCCCTTCTTTTCCTTTCTTTTCTTTTCCTTTCCTTTCCCTTCTTTTCCTNGAGAGGAGGAAGGAAGAAAGTAGAGAAGGGAGGAAGGGAGAAAAGAAATGGAAAATAAGGTGGTGTTGTAAAAGAAGGAAGGGATGGTAAATAAAGCAACCCAAACTGTGTATCATAACCTATTAAATGGAATAAGAAATGTATAAGAATGACAAATGTAAAGAAGAAGGAAGAATTATGTGAATGTATACTTACAATGGTATGTAAGAGAATAAAAAAAAAATTGGAACAAAAAAATAAGGCCAAGCCTTATTTCGGGGGGCGGGTATCAAAAAGAAAATTAGACCCTGTTTTATTTTCAGGGGAATACAGTAATTAAATTAATTAAAACGATTCACTTACTAAATTTATATGCCATCCGTCTCCCTTTCAAATCTCTTTGGGCAGGTTACGGTGTCATAAAATAAAATACATAAGAATTTGTGCATCAGGAAACATGAAAAGGTTTTAAACGTCGTCACGAACTATCCATTACTTTGGATTGCTCTTCTCCTTTTAACTTTGTTTTTTTTAAAATAATGAACGTTTGTCGTTTCATTGCTTTTAATGTTGCAAACGGGCCAAGGCCGGCTTTGAAGCGAGATGAGCAGCAAACAAATTTAATAGCAACAACGAGACAAAAAGGGACCGGTTCACAAACAGAACGGAGATGGGATCTTCTGATCTACTACTAACCACCCCCCAAAATGGGACGCCCCTTTTGGAGCGCAAAGCCAGTTAGCAGATCCCTTCTGGGAAGCCAGGGAGGTGGGGACAGAACTTACTTTGAGGGGCTGTGAGGAGCCAAGGCGAACCAGGCAGAGCTAAGTCGCAGCCAGGTGCCAACAGCCGCCAATGTGGGGAAACATTCCTGCGTAAAACGGCACAAGCAGCAGAACAGCTGATCTGGCTCTTCGCGCCTAACGCTGCGTCTTTTCGTTTGCTTTTTAGGATGGCCCCAGAGGTGATCCTGGCCATGGACGAAGGGCAGTACGATGGTAAAGTTGACGTGTGGTCTCTTGGGATCACCTGCATTGAATTAGGTGAGCCCCCCCGTGGGTCCACTTGGGTCCCTGGCTTCCGTTCTGCCGGCTCCTTTGCAAGTCGGCCATCAGCAGGCACACAGGGATCAACCACAGCTGCATGCCATTTATAGCAATAGCAATAGCAGTTAGACTTATATACCGCTTCATAGGGCTTTCAGCCCTCTCTAAGCGGTTTACAGAGTCGGCATATCGCCTCCAACAACAATCCAGGTCCTCATTTAAAAGAGATAATCCATAAACTCAAAAAGGGAAGAAAAAGGACCCAAACTCCTCCTCCGTAGCACTCAACACCCAAATAAGATTGACACTAGGCCCAAGCACCAAACTGTAAACAACACCTCACCCAGTCAAGGAACCACCAACTTAGACAACCTAACGGTGGACAACAGCCTAATAAATAAGGAACCCCCCCAAGAACTCTCCCACTGACACCGATAGGGCAAGCCACTAGTATATAAAACCGGAGCAAACCCCACCCACTCCCTACAAGCACTGATGCGGTTACCTAGCTGGGTAATGAAATGTCCGCGAGAAAACAAATACTCTCAGAGAGGCTAGAGCAGGGATGTGCAAACGTTTTTGACACCCGAGCGCCCAAACCAGAATGCCCGTGCAAGCTGGAGCCTGGGAAACCCAAAGACCAGCTGTCCGGCACGCGCACGCTGAGGTGGCGCAGTGGTTAGAGTGCAGCACTGCAAGCCACTTCAGCTGACTGCTATCTGCAGTTCAGCGGTTCTACTCTCACCGGCTCAAGGTTGACTCAGCCTTCCATCCTTCCGAGGTGGGTGAAATG